GAGAGAGAGAGAGAGAGAGAGAGAGAGAGAGAGAGAGAACCTACAAAATGAGGCTAAGCATTGAGCTGCCAAAGCATGACTCCAATTTCTAGACAGTGAAAACCTACAAATGTAAAAATATAAGAAAAGGTCCCTGGGCTGTGGTTGTAGCTCAGTGGCAGGGCACTTATCTAGCATGTACAAGGTCCAGGGTTCAGTCCCCAGCACATTGGGTACCATTTGAAGTCACTGTCTTGGTGAATCTCCCCTGACAACTTCTGTTCTCCTCAGAACTAATTCTACCCCCACAAGTCAAAAATCAATTTTTCCTCTTACATAACTTTTTTTCCATTTTGTAACTTTGCCTCTTAAATCTAATTTATGATTATCTTTTAATATCTGTCTTCATTTACTGTAAATTCCCTGAGGGCAGGGACTCTTCTTGCTTTATTTACTTTATCCCCAGGAGCCTCAGCATGGTGCCTGGGACCAAGTAAGCACTCAGTAAACAAGTACTTATTGAGTAAAAGAATGAACTGACACTGCTGTGCCAGCTCCGCCCCTGGGGCGCACTGAGGCGAATGAGACTGGGCATGGTGGTGAGCACCTATAATCCTAGCACTTGGGATTAAAACAGGAGGATCACTATGAGTCCAGTCTGTGTAGTGAGACCCTGTAGACCCTGTATGAAATGCAAAAACAAAAAAAAAGAATGAATTGACAGATTGATGGATTTTATAGTTATGGTACCAAAATCAAAGCCAAATTAATAATCCAGATTACTTTAAAAAGAACCATACCTTCCTGTTAATAACCCCAAGCAGAGGGACTGTGTAGCCTCACCAAGTGCCTGTGGATAGCAGTTGTGGGCTCACTGTCATCAGCATCCCTCACAGCAAACAGTGATGCCCGTGAGAGAAGCAGGCAATGGTGCTGTAGGATTAGTGGCACACTAGCAGTGGTATACAAAGGGAGACCGTGACAGGCCATCTGGGGTGTCTGCCCCCAGGTACCATCAGTGGATTCATGATGGGTGATACCTCAGTCATCTTTCTGAGCCCCTTTCCTCTTTCTAACAGTGATCTATGATGAATTGTTGCTTCAGATCCCCATGTTCCTTGCCTTCCAGAAGTGCACAAGCTAGTATTCGTCAAGAACACTACTAGCTCTTAACTTAATTAGTGTTTAATTAAACGGAAAAAATGTTTTCAGATTTCTTACAATGATATTCTATTTCTTTGTCTTCTCTATTTTTTAGGAAGTGCTTTATTGGTTCATCCAGTCACGGAACCAAAAGCAACCACGGTTGATGTGTTCCTGCCAGGATCAAATGAGGTAAGAGTAATAGCAAACGACCACAAATCTCATGACTCATACCTCTCACCCCTTCATTTCTCTAAGAAGCATCTTCATTGTGCAAATGTCTGTGTAGCTGATGGCCACTGCCCTCAGAAGTCCAAAAAGGTCATGAAGGAGAAGAGTGAGAAAGATGACTAGGTTATGACTCCCAGAAGGATCATGATGATTTTTTTAATCTTTGTACTTTTCCTTAAGTGAGTCTTTATAAGCACCCTGAAGCTTACAGTAGAAAGAAATCTTAGTCAACTTTGAGACAGCAAACTCAGGTTAGGAGTGGGAAATGTAGGCATAAAGAGATTTGTGCTTTGGTTTTGGCTTCCTCTGAATCCTGAGTTTTAATACCAAAGACTTGTCTGCTGATACTCACCGAAGTGGATTAAAAACAGACCTTTTTGTTCCTTTTCTACCTTCGAGCCTTCCTCTGCTCTGTTAGTAGTTATTGTCATTGATTATGATCACTGCACTGTGTGAGATACCTTACCCCTGGAGCCAGGGCAGTGTGAAGGTGAGACTAACCCATAGCCTCTGGAGCAGAGAGATCATATAGCCATCCAAAGAGGCCCAAAGCAGGCTGGGCAGAAACTTGGGCTATCAGAGAGCATGGCATGGAGAGGAGCAAGGGACAGGCCCTGAGAGCCTTGCACAGCAGAGCGTTGCCCAGGCTCCGGCAGACTGGGGAGGGCATTGGAGGTCCTGGCTGCTGGGTACTACATGCCTAGATAGTCTTTTTGAGGAGACACCATTCAGTCCACCACACTTGGCGCTATTGATATGACAATAACCAAGCTTTGGGCAGCCAAATAGCCCAGCGGATTAAAAAACACCTATAAGCAGGTGCAGGGGCCGGAGGTTCAATCCCAGGCCTGCGGTGCTGGCCCCACCTCCATGGCGCACTGAATTGGCAATTGAGACTGGGCATGGTAGCTCATGCCTGTAATCCCAGCCCTTGGGAGGATGTAAACAGGTGGATCACTACGAGTCTGATCTAGTAGTGAGACCCTGAACACCCTTAGACCCTTCCCTAAAAATACAAAAAAACCCACAAGTTTTTTCTCCAGAATGTCAATCAAGTATGGTCTTTTTCTTGGTTTTGCTGGCGTTTTTAATTATGAAGTGGAAAACCTTTACAAAGGTTTTCCTGCCAAGTGCAAACCTGAGAAAAAGATTAAGTACAACAAATAAATGATCCTACTGAGTACATCCATTAAGTGTCTCAAGTTGATTCTGACAAGAGAAGTGGCTCCCATGCAGAGGATCTGGCTCCCTTCCAAACATGGCTAAGAGTTTTCCTAATTATCTGTCACACTGTGGACACATCGTTGTGACTATTCCCTCAACACTTTTCCAGAGTGTTCTCTGATTGCCTGTCTTGCTACATCCTCACAAACCCAGTATAAAAGAGGCACACCATTTCTTGCTAGATCTGCCTCTTTGCTTTAACTAGCTACCTGCCATACACAGAGCTATGCAGATAGATCAATATGTCTGTTACGTTCCTCCCCATGTGATGTGAGCTCCTGGGAGGCGGCAGTTGTCATCTCTTCAGTTCACTGTCAAATCCCCGGCACCAAGATGGGTTCCTGGCATGCAGGGACCTCAGTGAGCACTCATTGACTGCAGAGCCAGGACTGTCTGCAGCTGATCTCCATGGGGTTTTGCACCAGTGATACCCTCCTGAGGTTGGAGATCTTTGTAGGTAGCATCTAAGCACAGACCCTACAGCTTCCATTTCATTTTTCTGGAAATGGTAGACATGCAGTCCCCAAACCTGTTTGCATCAGCTTTAAACATTTCTCCCCAAGTGCCAGAAAGTGCACGGGGCTAGAAGCGCTCTTTACCCGGAGCTTGTAGAATTGCCCAGAGAGAAGGGACACAGTCAGAGGAGGACATTCAAGACAGGAAAGTTGAGGCCATGTCCCTCATGAAGACAGACATACAGATCTTTGGCAAGATATTATTAAATTGAGTGCAACCAAGGGTAACACGTTATGACTGCAGAGGGGTTGAGTTCCTTGAATGAACAGTTCATTGTGCCTAAGGATCAAGGATCGCCAAGTCACAACGCTGTCACCTTTACAGCAGGATGGCACCCCTGCTATATAAGGAGCATGGTCCCTGGAGGTACACTTGTGACATGGTCTGTGGCTGCCAGAAAATGCACTGGGCTAGAAGAGAGAAATGAGACGTTAGTTTCCACACTGCTTTTGAAGGCATTTTAAGAATTAATTCCACCACATGACTTAATGGAACCCATTTGGTACCTCCGCAGCTGTGGGTAGAGGCTTAGCTCTGAATTGTGTTCTGTGAAAAAGAGACTTCAGGGCTAAAAGTTTTGATGTTTTCCTCCCAGATTTGCTTTTTCACTGATGCTTTCCTTTTCTTCTGCCTCATTTGTCTTCAGTTTGTGCTTTTTTTCCTGCTGTTTCTTTTTTTCATGGTTATCATGTTGTTTACTGGTAGATTGGTTGAGTTTATAACCAGATGGACTGTAAGAGCCACAAAGGCAGGAGCTATGTCTTTTCACTCATGTACAGATCTTAATTATCATGTACATCCAACACCTACCACAGAGATAGTTGTCCAGTAAACAACTTTTGAACCAGGTGTTCTGACACACTCCTGTAACCCTAGTTACTCTGGAGGATGAGGCCTTTTCTAGCATGGGTGACATCCTGAATTCAGTCTTCCGTACTGCCAAAAAAAGAAAAAAGGAAAGGAAAGGAAAGGAGGGGAAGGGAAGGGGGAGGGGAAGGGAAAGAAAAGGAAAGGAAAGGAAAGATAGATAGCTAGACAGCTATTTCCAAATAAGTGGTTTATTCATCACTGTCCCTTGGGATCTTCTTTAAAGCATACATTCTTCCTAATTTCTGCCCAGGTTAAATTCCACTTACTTTATATTTCAGGGCTTTTTGAGATGCAGATAAATGAGTATTTCCTGAATAAAGTGTGAGCAGAGTGGCTCATGTGCTGTTTTTCAGTGGTGTCTGTTACCTTTTAGATCTGGTATGACTCTAAGACATCTGTGTGCTGGGAAGGAGGATGTACTGTGAAGATGCCTGTAACCCTGGATACTGTGAGTCCTTTCCAGACCACTGTTCCCACCTGCCTTGTTGCTCTTCTCAGACTCCCATAACAAAGTACCACAGCCTGGTGCTTCAGCAGCAGAAACGTATTTTCTCACAGTTCTTGAAGGTAGACTTCCCAGATGAGTCGTCAGCTGATTCAGTTCCTCATGAGAGCCTCTCCCAGCCTGTAGACTGCCACCTTGTTCCTGTGCCCTCACGGGCGATGCACAGAGGGAAGGAAGAAGGGAGGGCCAGAGCTGGAGCTCCCCATGACGACTCTGCTCCTGTCAGAGCGGGACCCCACCATGAGACCTCATTTTTAA